GAGGTGCCAAGCACTCTGCTTGGGGCTGTGAGTCATTGGCTGGTCCCATTGGAATCTGACGGGGAGGCGGGGAAGCGTGTCCACCCTGCAGGCAGACAAGTCCCTGGGGACAAGGCAAGGTCTGTGGGAGCAGAGGGAGAGTCTGGCCATCCATGTCATGGAAGGAGGAGGCTGCCAACAGCCCCATTTTTGTGCCTGGGCTGGGGCTGGAGCCGCTTCTCTGGGCTGGCAGGAGCCTGGAAGGAGCTGGCCGAGAAGTCCTGAGGGCCCCAGACTGGGCTGCCCTGAATGAATCCAGCTCCCTGCCATTGACCTGGGGTGCACCAGGCTCACCAGTTGCCCTCTCTCATAGCCAGATGCAGCAGCACCAGGGTCTACCTCATAAGAGGGCAGAGGCAGCCCCGCTGGCACAGACACCACCTGGCACAGAGTTTCTCAGGAGGCAGCTGAAACCTCAGAGACACATGTGAATAATGCAGATTCCTGGGCCTGCCCCAAACCAAATGGAGCCCTGGGAAGATTGGAGCTGGGATCTGCATTGTTAATAACTTCTCCAGAAGAGTCTTATGTGCTACCTAAGCCACTCGCAAAGTCCACTTTCATATCTTTGTCCCTGGGACCCAAGCACAGTGGGAGCTGGCAGAGGTGAGACCTCCCCACATGCGCTTGGCTCAGCCCGGAGGTGGGGCAGAGGCTGCAGTGTCTTCTACTGGATGGGCCTCCTGTCGTAACGAGCCACCCACCCGTGCCCAGGTACACCTGACACGTGGCCTAGCCTCTGACATAATCCTAGCTCCTGCTCTTTGAGGCGGAACTGTTACTTTCTCCTCTTTCTGATGAGGAAACAAGGTTCAGAGAAGTGAAGTCAGCAGCCCAGGATAGCTCAGCCGGAGCCAGTGCCAGGCTGCAAAACTGCTTCTTCTGAATCTGTAGCCTAAGCACAGAACTACAGTGCCCAGCTACCACCTGCAGGGGGTGGAGTCCTGCCTCCACCTTCTGGTCATCCATCCTTTGCCCTGGGTCTGGATCCTGGCATTGGTGGTGGCCATCGGCGTCGATCCATGGCTTGTCATTGTATCCAACATGGAAAACCTACTACCAGCCCTACTTGGATCAGAATCTTTAAGTGCAGCCCTTAACAGAAGTCAGTTAATCCCCACTCCTGCCCCAACTCACACACACACACGTGCACACACACAGGGTTGGCTCTGCTCTCCTTGGGGGTCTCTCCAGCCTCTGCCTCCCCATCCTCCAATCCCGTCCATGCTCTCCAGGAGTTCCCAGCAATCCAGTGGGGACACAGTGAAATATGCCCCAACCTCTCTAAGGTAGAAAAGGTGGTGCTTGGGTGTGAAATTCCCCCTTAGCAGTTATAGAATTTAAAGCTAAGCATTGCCTTTCTTGAAATAGCAAGCGTGTTGCTTTTCCCCATGCATCTGGTGATGATGTCAGAAACATCAGGGACAGCTTCTATTCGGCCACAGTTGAGCCAATCCTAGGCAGTGGTGACCAGGGAGGCCCTGAGAGGCCATTGCAGCCAACGCCTTCATTATCAGACAACGAGGGTAAGGTCCAGTGATGGTCAGGGATTTACCCCAAGTCATACGATGGCATCTAGCTAGGGTTGGAAGCCCACTCCCTGCAGTCCCAGTGGGGCACTCAAAAGCCATGAGCAGTCTTTGGGACCTCCAGCACAGAGCCCCCTCCTCAGAACCGCTCCCCCTGCCCGGCGGACAGCTCCAGACAGCTGCTCTTCCTGTCCCGTCCATGGCTGTTCACATTCATGGCTGCTGCCCCCACATCACTCTCTTCCCCGCCCTGTAACCAAACTAAACACTTCTCCATACTTCATTTCATCACCAAACAATAAAAGCAGGCTATTCCCCCTTAACGGAAGCGTTAATTTATTCTCTATCTTGCAGGCCAGCTCAGCCAACACGATCCGGCCAAGCTGAGCATGGGAGGCCAAGTGTGCAGCAGCTTTCCAGAGGGCCCAGGGACCAAGGTGTCTTAACTCTCGGCAGGAGTGCTGGGCTCCGTCCCAGCCAACGGCGCAGGAGAGAAGCAGCTCAAACTCCTTTCCTGGTTGGGCCAGGGCCAGCAGGCCCCTGTCCTGTCAGTCCTCTGGCTAGAAGGCATAGCTTCTCCACAAGGCTGGGACGGAAGACCCATCCCAAAGCACCAAATTAAGAGTAAAAATAAGCTCAAGGTCGGGGGGAAAGCCCTTCTAGCAGCCTGGTGCTGCTGGCTGAGCTGCTTCCAGCCCTAGTGGCCCAGATCCCAGGGCTGGCGCTCGCCTAATCAGTTGGACATTGCAAAGCTGGGCTCCCCCACCACCTGTGTTGAGATGAATCATCCATTGCGGGTATCTCCATCTTCTGCATCTCTCCTCACACACACAATGACCCCAGAATCTGGATTGTCATTACCTGTGGCCTTCTGCACCAGTGAGGAGCAGGATGACACACTGGTTAAGGGCTAGACTTGGAGTTGGCTCCATCCTTTCCTGACTGTGTGACCTGGGGCAAGTTACTTAACCTCTCTAAGCCTCCCTCTCCTCGGTCAGTAAGATGGGGTAAGAATAATGCCTTCCTCTTTCAAAGAGTGACTGTAAAGATGAATGAGCTAATAATTTAAAATGCTTAACCCGATGCTGGGCATAGAGTCCAGACAAACAGTGGTGATTAACAACCAATAATAGTTGTAGCAGATGCGTAAGAAAAGTTGTGGAGAGGTGAGCACGGTGGCTCAGCCTGTCTGTAATCCCAGCAACTCTGGAGGCTAAGGTGGGAGGATCGCTTGAATCCAGGAGTTGGAGGCTGCAGTGATCGTTCCTCTGCACTCCAGCCTGGGCAACAGGGCGAGACTCTGACTTTTTTTTTTTTTTTTTTTTTTTTTTGAGATGGAATCTTGCTCTTGTCACTTAGGCTGGAGTGTAGTTGCCCGATCTCAGCTCACTGCAACCTCTGCCTCTTGGGTTCAAGCGATTTTCCTGCCTCAACCTCCAGAGTAGCTGAAATTACAGGCACCCGCCATCATGCCTGGCTAATTTTTTTTTTTTTTTTTTTTTTGTATTTTTAGTAGAGACAGGGTTTCACCATGTTGGCCAGGCTGGTCTTGAACTCCTGACCTCGTGATCTGCCCGCCTCGGCCTCCCAAAGTGGTGACTCCGACTTAAAAAAAAAAAAATGTGGAATGTGGAAGAAGGTGCAATGCCCAGGGCCCAGAGAAGCCAGGCAAGCATCCTTAGAGGCTGTGGGGACAGTCAAACAGGGGCCTGGGCCTGCACAGAGCTGTGGGATGTTCTGGGCCTGCAATGAACCCCAGGCAAGGAGGCAAGAGCTCGAGGGGCAAGGGCTCTGCAGCCAGAAGCAAGCTGATGGCTGGGAGCCAGGAAGGTGGGCTGAGCATCAGACCAAGGACCAGGCAAATAGGGTGGGGGTCAAGATCCAGCAGACCAAGGACACAGAACTCAGCAGAAAAATGGATTCTAATCCCCGAGCAGGGGCACTTGCCTTCCATTCTGTTTTAGTGCTTCCTTCTCCAGGAGGGGGTAGGCTAAGGACGTGGATAATTGCAGTGGTCACTGGGGTTACCTCCCCTCCCCCACTACGATGGCCCAGTCCCAGGAAGTGGGACTGACCCCACTCCTATCTCCAGGATGACCAATCAGGGTAATCGCGACTTCCCTACCATCCATAGCGATTGTCCCTCAGACACGGTCTTCTCAGAGCATAGCTCAGAATACCCGTTTCATGGGTATGGGAAGAGTGGTTTCTTTCTCCCAGAAGAGGAAAAAGGAATTGTATCACCCTGGTTTCTGCTAGCAGCATTCCTGTGACTATCAAATAAGCCATTTTAAGGAGTAGGCATGGAAAGCAGAGCATAGAGAAACAGAGAAACAAAGGTCAAGTCCTGATAAAACTATGCCTGAAGCCCACACACAGTACCTTCAGTCCTTTACTACACAAGGCAATAAATCTCAGAGCTATTAATAGTTTGAGTTGGTGCAGCAGACAGAATAATGCCACCCCCAAAGAGATGCACTATCTCTAGAAACTGTGGATATTTGTCAAAAAATGTTTTTTTCAATAAAAGGTAACACATGTTTGTTATTTTAAAAAATCAAATAGCATATAGGGGGAATATGAAAATCATGCATTATGCAGCCCATAGAGAGCAGCCACTGCAGACACTCTGGTGAACGTCTTTGGAAGCCGGCCTCTCACTCACTCTCTCGCTATTCCTGTCTGTCCCTATCTCTCTTTATAAATATATAAAAGCATTTTACACAGTGGATTCAAGCCATTCATGCTGATTTGTAACCTGCTTTTTTCCTGCCTTTTGTAATTTTATGCTCATTGTAAACTTTCCACAGTGGGCATATATAACTTTTATAATCCGGAACATTAAAAAACAAAAAAGCAAAAGACCACAAAAAATAAAGTTAAAACCCGCAAATACAGGATGAGGGTTCCCTGGCTGAGCAGTAAGGCTGTGAAGAAAGGCTTTGGGGTTTAACTGACCACAAACTCAGCATGAGTTGACGGCATGGTGTGGTTTCTAATTTCGATCCAGTTCATGTTATCGGACAATTCCCCAGCTCCCGGTATGGGAAAAGTAAAGGCAATATAAAGAAGCTTCTCTGGGCTCAGCTTGAGACAACTCATTGTTTGCTCAATCCCCTGCCTTACAGCTTTTGAAACACCTACTATGTGTAAAATCAGGATAAGAACAGCTAATGTTTCATGAGCACTTACTCTGGCCAGGCAATATTCTAAGAGCTTTACATACATTAACTTGTTTAATCCTCCCAACAACTACCATTATTCTTCTCATTTTATAGATGAAGAAACCGAAGCCCAGAGAGGTTAAGTAACTTGCCTAAGGTCACACAGCTTACTAAAGCATCACGAGAAATACCAAGAAGAGCAAGCTATGGGTCTGCCCTCAAGGAACTGACAGTCAAAAGGACACATGTAAAAGACTCACATTAATTCATTCAACAAACATTTAACTGTGCAATGTTCCTATAAATACATTCTCTCAACCCAGCCTCAGTGGATGTTCATTTATTCAGTCACCCAACACAGTTTTATTATGCACCAACTATGTGCCAGGCTTGGTGCTAGGCACTGGGGAAACGGTGCCGAACAAGACAAGTCCCCACAGCTCAGCTTATAATCAGGTGGGAGACAGAAGAATTAGTGAAGCAAATAAGCACATGATCTAATTAAATGTGGACCTCAGTCCTGTGAAGACAAATACAGCAGGCAAGGACTGGAACTGACCCATGTAGAGGTCCAAGCAGGAGACCCAACGTAGGTCATTTAGAGGCCATTGAGGAGGCATTTCAGCTTTGGGCCAAGGAAGATCAAGGAGGTGAATATGTCTTGATTGCAGTGAGACAGAACCATAGAAAATGCAGGTGGAGAGGCAGGTTGCAGTCAGTCACACACAAGAGGGTTTGCTGCCAGGCAAGACTCTATTACGTGTATGCTGGGAAGCATTCGAGAGTGTTAAGCAGAAGAGTAACAAGATCTAATGTCCACTTTTGAAAGATCACTGGACCAGAGGGCAGCAGGTAAGAGGGGAAGCAAGGAGACAGTATAAGGCCAGTTTCATAACAGGGGCACAAGCTGATAGGGCGAGATTAGGGTGGCAAGAGGGTGCCTGGGGAGTCAGGATTGATGATTAAATGAGCACTGACCAGACTTGTGGATGCACTGGATGCAGGACGTGAGGGAAAGAGGAGGCAGGACAACTTCAGGGGCTTGGACCGGAGCAACCTGGGTGCCATGTACCGAGAAGCAGAGGACTGAAAGCAAAGCAGTTTTCAATAATCCACCTGGTGTGAGATGCAGTGGGCCTTCTCCAAGCAGGGGGCTGGATGCACCAGTCTGGAGCTTAAGGGAAAGATCTAGCCTGTAGATCGGCATTTGGGAGATGTCAGTGTCTAGGGGGACCCTATCTACAACTTCAGCCTGGATGAGCCCACCCAGGGAGTAGGTGTAGACAGGGCCCCAGGGATGAGTGCAGACAGAGACCCGGGAGTAGGTGTAGACAGAGACCCAGAGAGAGTGTAGACAGGGCCCCGGGGATGAGTGTAGACAGAGACCCAGGAGTGGTGTAGACAGCCCTGAGAGTGGGTGTAGACAGCCCTGGGGTGCTCTACCACTTATCAGTTTGGAAGAGGAGACAGATTCCAGAAAGGAGCCTGAGAAGCAATGGCCAGGGAAGAAGGAAGAAACCGAGAGAGTGTTGTCTTGGAAGCCACGTGCTTAAGGCAGCGGGGAGAAATCAGATCTGTCAAAAGCTGCTGATAGGGTGAGGAAGATGAGGCCTGGGGATCACCCACTTTGGCAGCAAGAGGCCACTGCACAGGAGGCATCCCCGAGGCCTGGAGCTTCCAGCTCCCAGCTCCATCCAAACTCACCAGCAGCCCACAGACCTCTCCTCTGCTCATGTGGGCCCCAGGAAACATTAGCCAGCATCTTGGCACAACCCTCCCCAGGCTGGCCTGGGCAAAGGTGGTCTTGCCTTGGTCGAGCTGACACGGGCACGCTGCAGCTTCCCGGAGGCCCTGCAATGTCTCCACTCTCCATACCCACGCTGCCCCAATGCCTGCGGTGGCTGCATTGAATGGAAGTAATAACACCCTCCTTCAGAGATCCCCGCGAGGGCTAAGGAACTCGAAAGGAAGCCTCTTATCAACTGAGCGCACTGAGTGATGTAAGTTAATGATCATCATCTGAAATGAACTCCTCCCGCTCACTGCCTTCCCACTCCTCCCAGCCTCTCTCGGCTCCCCCTGCCCCGCCTAACTTGTCCCATCTCTTATTTTCAGGGGTCTCTTCTGGCTTGTCATCACAGTTCCTCCCGCTCTGCTTAGCCTTCTTTCTTCTGGTCTTACCATGCTGTCTTCTACCCTTTGTGGAGGAGAATGCTGGGAAAGAATAACAGAAATTACTTTCTGAGAGATGATGATGATGATGATGATAATGACAATGGTGATGAAGAGTGTGAATACCCCTTACTGAGCATTTCTGCAGGCTGACCTAGTGCAACTTCTCATCTATTCTTGCCCGCAGCCTCGGAGGTAGGTGTTCAAAATGGTAGTGGCTGCCCCTGACATCAGCAGAATAATAATCATGCTTGCTATTTATTAAGCACTTACTCTGTGCCCAGTTTGGGATAAATACCTTCTGCTCACTCTCTCCTTTCAGCCTAACGTCAATGGTAGAGAACAAAATATTCTTTTTTTTTTTTTTTTTTTTTTTTTTGAGACAGGGTCTCCTTCTGTTGCCCAGGCTGGAGTGCAGTGGCATGATCGTGGCTCACTGCAACCTTGACCTCCCGGGTTCAGGTGATCCTCCTGCTTCAGCCCCTCAAGTATCTGGGACAATGGTGCGTGCCACCACGCCTGGATAATTTTTGTAGAGATGGGGCTTCCCATGTTGCCCAGGCTGGTCTTGAACTCCTGGGCTCAAGCAATCCACCTGCCTCGGCCTTCCAAACTGTTGCGATTACAGGCATGAGTCACTGTGCCCAGCCAAATATTCTTATTACATCCATTTTGCAGGTGAGAAAAGGTTAAGTTGCTGAGTAAAAGAATAAATGGTGTTCAAATGATTGAGTTCAAAACTGGGGTGGGGGATACAGAGGCAGAGAGACTCCAGAAATGACCTACTGTGCCACCTTGAGTGCCCAGAGAAGTGCAGGTGGCAGTGGTTGTCAATATGTGTATTGGGTGGGGCAGGGAAACACACAGCCCCATTCTCCTGCAAGTCCTGGCCCTGGAGAGGGATCAGTGGGTCCACGGCTTGTGGCACTTGGAGTGTGTGCTGCCAGGACAGTGGTGAGTGGGGCGAGCATGTGGGGTGCGGGTGACTGCGAGTACGTCCCAGCAGGACTCGTGGCAGCCTTTACATTTTTGTGGCATGAGGTGGAAATTGGAAATAATAAAGAAAGGAGGTGGGGGAGAGACAGAAATAAGAAAGAAAGAAAAAGCAAGGAAATCATAAAATGTTACCATCCTGCAGGCGCCAGCCTGGGCGATGAAACCACTAATGAGCCTGAGGTTCTGCAGAGCCCAGCATCTAATTCAAACCAGGCAGATAACAGCCGCGCGGTGCCCCTGCGCAAGTGTTAGCATGCACCCTCGAGGCCACGGCACGGGCAGGGAGTCCCAGAGCCCCGGAAAGTGGAACTCAGCTGCCATCCGCCCAGCCCCAGCACCCTGGCTTGGGAGAGGTCGCGCTGCCTCATCTGCAGAGCACTGCAGAAGGCCAGCTTGCCCATGCCTCCAGCAGGTCCACATTCAATCAGAATCACATCTGCAGTGTTTCGTGATTGGGGGTGTAGATCCTCCATTTAATTGAAACTTTTTACCCTTTGACCAGCATCTCCCCAATCTCCAACCCCTGGTAACCACCATTCCACTCTCTGCTTCTATGAGTTCTACTTTTTTAGATTCTACATGTAAGTGAGATCATACAATATTCATCTTTCTATGCCCGGCAAGTTTCACTTAGCAAAATGTCCTCTGGGTTCATCCATGTTGCCACAAATGACATTATTCCCTTCTTTTTTTAACCCTGGATAGTATTCCATTATGTGTATTTAGCATGTGCTCTTAATCCATTCATCTGTTTTTTTGGTTTGTTTTTTGTTTCTGTTTTTGTTTTTTGCTTTTTTGAGAAGGAGTCTCACTGTGTCATGCGATTTCAGCTCACTGCAACCTCCACCTCCCGGCTTCAAGCGATTCTCCTGCCTCAATTTCCCGAGTAGCTGGGACTACAGGCGCCCACCACCACGCCCGGCTAATTTTTGCATTTTTGATAGATATGGGGTTCCACCGTATTGACCAAGCTGGTCTTGAACTCCTCACCTCAAGTGATCTGCCCACCTCAGCGCCCCCAAACTGCTGAAATTACAGGCATGAGCCACCACACCCAGCCCCATTCATCTGCTGATGAACCCTCAGGTTCATTCTGTGTCTTAGCTATTGTGAATACTGTTGCACTTAACATGGGACTGTGGATATCTCTCTGGCATACTGATTTCATTTGATTTCCTTTGGATATATACTGATTTCCTTTGGATATATACCCAGAAGTGGAATTGCTGGATCATATGGTAGGTCTATTTTTACTTTTTTGAAGAACCTCCATACTGTCTCCCATAATGGCTGTACTAATTTACATCCCCATCAACAGTGTACAAGGGTTCCTTTTTCTCCACATCCTGGCCAATATTTGTTATCTTTTGTCCGCATTCAATTGCATCTCAATTATACACAATCCTATTTGAATGAGTAATTTATCAGTTGTCACATGTTTGTTTGTTTTCAAGACGGTGGAATAAATACAATTCAAGTTAAACTGCTTTTAAAAATTGGGTGAGAATCACACAGCCTTGAAGTTATTTCAGAGTTAGTAGGTAAACAGAGACCTCTGTTAAATGCTGTGTCCTTGGCATTCAACGTAAATGGCCCGTGTTATTAGCAGGTAGCACCCGTCCCGCACCGCACATTTAATGCAGGGCTTTCTTATCCACCACCCTTGGAGGTGGGGCCAGCACACCCACTTCGCAATAAGAAGATGGAGACTGTCTGGCCGGGTGCAGTGGCTCATGTCTGTAATCCCAGCACTTTGGGAGGCCGAGGTGGGTGGATCTGAGGTCAGGAGTTCAAGACCAGTCTGGCCAACATAGTGAAACCCTATCTTTACTAAAAAAAAAAAACACACACACACAAAAATTAACCGGGCGTGGTGGCGGGCACCTGTAAACCCAGCTACTGGGGAAACTGAGGCAGGAGAATCACTTGAACCTGGGAGGAGGAGGTTACAGAGAGCCAAAATCATGCCATTGCACTCCAGCCTGGGTGACAAGAGCAAAATTCCATCTCAAAAAGAAAAGAAGAAAAAGATAGAGACTCTCCTTAAGGCATGATCAAATGGCAGCCAGCACTCAACCCCAAAGTCTATCCCCTGAGCAGACTGTGTTCCCTCACTGAGCCACGTTTCTGAGCCGAGTGCCAAAGCCTCGGGTAGGAGTTGGCAGGGTCTTATCCTCCCTTATCAGCCTCCCCCACCCCATGGATCTTCTCTTCATTAGGAAGTTCCTAGGCTTGGATGAGCAGAAGCTTCTCCGCATCCTCCACAGAGCTGCCCTTGGTGGGGTGGGTTGGGTATTGATTCTCCTTGTGTTTCTGCAGTGATTGCAGATGTTGGAGTAGGTGGGAAACATCACCTACTCCCTAGCTTCAGAAACCCCTGTGCATCACCAGAATCAACCAGAAGCACTCCTCCCAGGCTTTGAGGTGGATGCCACCATCCACCATGTCATGAAGGGAGCAAAGAAAAGCCCTAGACTTGGAATCGGCTCCTTGCCTGCTGGAGAGGTCATTGTCCCACCCTGAGAGCATTTTCCCATCCAGGAAATGGGGACATGCCTGTCTCACAGGAAAGCTGGGAGAATTCAATGAGATTATGTGTCTTATTATAAACCTCAAGGAATAATGCGTTGAAAGTCACCGAGCTGACGCTAGAGTGACGCTTAACATAACTTTGTGGGGATGAAATCACAAGAATTTCTTCAGCACTGGAAGCAACATTCCTCACATTTCCTAAGCTGCCATGGATCTGATGCCCCATTTCCACAGCATTCTTTTGGTTGCAAATGATAGACACAGAGAATTGAAAGAAAGACAGACAGAGACAGACAGAGAGAAAAGAAAAAATGCTGCAGAGAAAATGACCAGGTTGGGGGAGGAAGATAAGGGAACAGAGAATGGCCAACAGAATACCAGAGGCATTGAAAAAAATAATGCATAAAAGAGCTAAAGATCCCAGGAGAGAAAAGGAGGAGTGGGAGAGACAAGAGGGGCTGAGGGTGAAGGAGAAGAGGCAGAAGGCTTGGGAAGCCAGGGATAGAGGTGGGAGGATTACCAGCAGCAGAGGGGCAGGGGTCAGAATCTGACCAGGACAGGGGCCCAGGCACTTAAGCTGAGGCCTAGACAATGTGGCTCTGAGGCATCGTCCTCTGTGACAGGGAAAGAGTCAGAGAGGAGAGTGGCCATGGCGCCTGGGCTGCACGACCCCTTTGGCCATATGGCTCTGGGTTGGGCTTGAGGAGAGAGCTTGTGTTTTCTAGCCCCCACCCCTGATCCAGAGAAGAGAGAAGACCATCTGTTCCATTTCTGATGCCAGCACCTCCTCTTTACCACCAAGGTCCAGGACAGAAAACCCAGCATCTGTTTAGCAGTCAGATATTGACTTTTGTCCATAGGTCAGTGATTTCTAGAAGGTCACAAGAAACTCAAAGTCCAGTTGTTCCAACCCTCCCTCTCTCACTGTCCGTTATGAAGATGAGGGTTCAAGGCTCAGAGGGAGGGAGACTACCTCAGTTACCAAGTGAGATCGTGGCTGTCTGGAGCACAGCCCAAGCCTCCTGCCCCCGGAGGAGAGGGCTGAGAGTAGAGTGGGTGGAGGGTGAGGGGAGGTCTCAAAGCTGGGAGACGGAGAGGAGCAGGGCTCTCCTCTCTATACAAGGCATTGTTCATCTTCACAGAAGCATCCTCGGTACCTAGAAGAGGGCCTGGCATGCATGGGGTCGTTAGCAAATATTTGCTGAATTCGTTAAAGGAAGTTTTCCAGACTGAGCACAGGAAAGCCAGCTGGTGACCCCTCTGCCCCTGACCAGAGCATGTCACTGACTACCCTTGGGGCTCCGGGGAAAGCTCAGGCTGAGGTGACAGCAGAGCTGAGAGCAGGATTCAGGGCCTGGGTTAGGTTTGAGTTTTAGGACTGGGCTGTAGCTGCAGTGGGTTTGAGGTTAGGCCTGGGGTTGGCAGAGGTTGAGTTTAGCTTGGGATGGAGCTGATGTCTGGTCTGGACTGTGGATGGAGCTGGTGCAGCTGTGGGATGGTGTTCAGAGCTGGAG